AATCACTGAAGCGTCACTTACTACCATGGGGAATCAGTTTCCGTCTATCGAATACACCAAGTGGTATTGTTTGATCAGCGCTTCAAAACTGGCTGTCATATCAAACCCTTGTTTAGGACTACTTTATTATTTTGTATTCGTTCGCCTATTCTTCCATCCTTCTCGGCTTTTGTCGTACGTTGAATAAAGCTTAGTTCCCGAACATTTGTGCTCTCCTCGTGAAACAGCTTTTTCAACCGCTTCATACTTCAGCGTAGACGAGTTTGTATTCGAAAAGCACTAACAGTCGTGACGGCAGTTTTGGAGATGTCGTTCTTTTCTACAGGAATCTGATTATACCCATCAACTAAATCGATCTCACTAAAAAACGACTTATCAACGAATTTTGCAGTCAGATCTTAATGCTTAGTGGCTGGACACCCTAGCCTCCGAAAGCCTCAGTATGGTCGGGGGTGGGTGTCCAGGGCTCCGACTGGTCACCATTCCCTTGCACCTCACAAAATGCTCCAATACGACCAAGCGTCTCAAATAGCCTCTCCTGAGGAAGCCCTACTCACGGACTTCTCGCGACGGTGTTTTTCTACCAAAGTGAGAGGACGAAAAGCCGATATCCGGGGCTATAAACGGATTGGTGAACCACTGGTAGTTCACCTAGGGGACTCGGCTAAAAACCTTGATTCCAAACCAATCACGGAGAGGCGTACGAACCACACAACTTCCTGGTTGTGGCAGTGGTCACCGGCTCAATTGGGCATCGAGGTGTATTGGGCACCCCGTCCGAAGGGCGTATGATCCGATGAACTGGACACCGACTCCTACTGGACTGCGGTTCTCACACACCGCCCCGCTGCCTTGCAGATCAGGATTTGGCTAGCCGAAGGCTCCGGTTGTGGATTTCTCAAGAAAATTCACCTGCCTTGGCCTGGGCAACCTGGCAGTATTCGGCCCACAAGCCAATCATGGAACATTTTCTTTTTTATAAAGATTATTGTACCATGATTTTCTTGGCACACAGTCTGTCCTAAGACAAGTGTGAAATATAATATAATATACACCCTAGCAGTACCCGTCCATCAAACCCCAATGCATATGTATTGCGAGTTTGGCAGCGATCAGAGAAGTCCACTTCTCTGTATTCAGCTGTACGATGGTGATGATGATGATGTGAGGAATGGGATGGCGATCTGGGACTGCGCACTTATTGAGTGCTCGGTAATCACCAAAAGGGAAGCCATTACTAGAACCCTTCGGAGCCGCATGTAGCGGTGAGATCCATAAAATATCAGGATTTGGGTAGTGGTGGCGCAGTAGTTTAGTCACTGTCAACGGCATGCTTTGGACTTCGTGGTCCGAGGTTCGAGTCCCGCCACCGCCACCCAACTTTGGTGGTAGGCAGGTTTGCTGTCGTTCGGTTCAATATCATGCCTAACCTAGCGGGGCCTTATGTGGTTCGCCACTCCAAGTCCCGGGGCTTAGATTGCCGGTTACGATCATTGAACAGCAGGTCCTCGAGGCTATGGCGTTTACCCCGTCTGCTGTTTATCACACTAAGCTGTGTCACACAAAAAACAAATCACTTATTTTGAGTCCCGATAAACCTCTGACAATTTTAAAAGCCCTTATCAGCTTTTCCCTCATTCATCAACCTTCCAGCGATAAGAGATAAAGAACTCGTATATATATATATATACAACACCGGCTTGTAGACAAGCATTAGAAGAACAATGATTTTTCTTCGGGAGAGTCGTTCGTATTTTGCTGATAAACTTGTACAAGCCCTCAAGAAAAGCAGCGCGATGGTTAGAATTCCACCTTGGTTTCCAGCAGCCTCAACCACGACTGGGTTGTTGTTGATAGGTATTTCTCCATGGTGGCGCGTATAACCTTGCAATCAGTAAACATCCAATCCCTTAGAGCCAATTCAGACGAAAAGAAACAATTCCCTCGAGGAATCACATACCACATAAGTGACTTGGCTACCGCACAAGTGGTCCAACGAATTCTGCATGAATTTTAGTTCCACATACTTCAATGCCGACCCAATCGGCTACCAACGAACCCTCCGGTATGCTTATTCAATCACGTGAGATTCTGGTTAACTCGGTCGTGTGAACTTTGATTCGGGTGTAGTACACCAAAATGTTACTCCAGAACGTAATCATTTCCGCAACTCCTAATGGCATTCCTTTCCGGTTCCAAATGACGGCAACGTATCTGACTTGAAGCTGAGTACCATCATTTCACGTTCCACCTTCAACGAAGATGCCCCTGACCGCACACAGTATGTACCCACTGCGAACCTTTATGTGCATCATGCACCTCGGCTGAGCACNCCACCTCTGTGATGACGGTACCGAAGGTCGTTTCGTATTTCCTAGTGGGGTCTGCTGTAGTGTGACCAGTTGTACGGTTAAAGTCGGACATCACTCGTCCGATGCAATCTTACTGTATGTTCACATTTGTGCCTCAGTAACAACGCCTTGTAAAATTTGTATCACACGCTTACAATATACTATATCCTTCCAAGAGAAAACTTCTACTTATCGCTTCCGATACGTTTGCATGTTATTGCGCTCGTTGATCATTCTTACCTTATCGCAAATTTTCTTACCGCGTACGGGTACATTCCCTCATCATCGTCATTGAACAGTGAAGCGAACTTCAATGATCGCAGACAAACTCGCAATGCATACAAGGTTAGTGGTAAAACTTAAGGTGGACATGGATTGGACCTACTTTGAGGGAGAGAAAACGGTGAACCTGTAGGGTCAACACTCAGAGTGCACAATCGAACTGTGACTACATACCGTTTCAAGCATTCTNACCCACTGCTGTCGGTTAGTTGCCATATCCTTCAGTGTCTCCAACCAACCAGTTGTGGAGTCTTTTCGCCCCCAACCTGGAAAAGGGAGACCGATTCTACCTAATCTGAATTCGATGAGACAACGAATTTTCCATCGAATCATTACCAAATACGTGACACCTTACCTTAGAGATGTTTGCATGCTCGCTCCTCCCAAATAGCGCCAAACTACGTAAAAATCGACAATCGAAAACTTCTAGACAACGAATATCCTCCACGCACAAATTCAGGGTCTCGCAACCACAGAGTAGAACTGACCGCACTCTGGCGCAGTATATACGACCTTTCAGTTTCAACAAAACGTCGCGTCTTCATCAAACGTATTTCAGTCCTGTGTAGGCTGCTCGAGCCTTTTAACTGCGGGTGGTTGCTTCATTGACTATGCTACCGTCATTTGTAACGCAGCTACCTAAGTAGG